TTAAACAGGAAAAGGGATTTCCCCCCATCCCCTGAAAGAAAAAACACTAAATAAGGCAGAATAGAAATAAAAGGTGTTCACAAACGATCTCCCATTGCCATCCTGTGTTTCCATAAATCGGCTTTATTAGGAGGTGAGAAGCTACACAGCTGACTGAAACTGAGTGGACAGGCAAGGGCTGCTCTGAATTGTAACGAATTGTACATGTCTCTAGTTTCTTGGAAGTTTTTTCATTGCAAGAAGAGTTTGAATGTCTCCTTTTCTGCTGTCTGCTTGGGTATGCTGCAAATTCTTCTGTCTTTTCTCTAACCCTGCAGACTCGGAACGTTTTTCTTCCTTAGCATGGCAGGAATGAGGGTTGCTTGCAATGACAGGAGCCGTGTCCCTTCAGGGAGTTTCACCTTCGTGCCTCTTGTGTTAAAATAACAGAATGTAGAAGGTAGAAGTGACAAATAGAACAAATACTGTCTGTCCACAAGTTTCACTGCTTGATGGCATTAATAATGTCACCTTGTCACATCCTTGCAGAGAAGCACCCTTCAGTCTGCTATAGAAGAAAGAGGAGGAAGAAAAGCAGCATCCTTTAATGCTTTTCTATATATTCGTGAGTGGGATGCCAGCCTTTATGGCTTAGAGAATCCTCTCTCAGCCTTGGCCCTGATTGAGCACATCTTTTGTGCAGCTGTTGGCTTCTGAAAGATGTCAGTGTGCTTCAGGGCCTAATGGGTTCTCATGTGGTACACTATGTACTGTGGGTAGTTTTTTTCTGGAGAAAATCCCCCTCTAGTTCAGTACTGTTGAGAACTAAACTTTATCCTTTTATGTCTCTGACTCCAAAGATACCTTTTTCCTACATGGTTTGAACTAATTCCTTATTGCCTAAATTTCAACCAAGATATCAACAAAGCAACAGCTTCCACAGAACCTGCATTTTATATTTGATGAAATAAACCCGACAACTTGTTTTTTCCTATTTTTCATTTTTATAAAAAATTATCTACTGAAGGGAGTATAACTGAGAAAGTGTCAATAGTACTTTTAAACCTCTTATGCAAAATCTTAATCCAAAATGCTGTTTACAGTATTGTTTTAAATGCTCTGAACTTTTTATTTCTGACCACAGATTAAAAATCACATAGGCATTTGACATGATTGAAATAGTGGGCTGCAATCTTAGATGCACATCAGACACTTGTACACTGATGTATAAAATTGGGAAACCTTGAAAAGAAAACTTTAGTACATTGAATCTGCAGAGGTCTGCTTGTATTTTGAAGCTTGACAAGCTTTTCTGATTTAGGCTGTCTTCATCTATGGCTTAAAGTCGACAGAGTTCTGTATCATGTGATCTCTTACATACCTTGGTCCTGATTTCTGTCTGAAGGTTTTGGCTTCCTGTTGCACTGATCGCTGCTTGATGGGATGATTATTCTCTTAAATTCAAGCAAACCAGATTCTACTGTCTCTGAAAATTTCTATCCTATGTGCTGTGTAGAAGATGGAAAAAACGGCAGTGGATCTTTGTCATTTTTGCTTCTGTAAGGAAAACTATGTCTTGATACAAATACCTAGCAGTGAGTTCCTCGCACCAATACTGACTAACACATTTGTAGACAGCAGGTGAGAACCTACATTCAGTTTTTGGAAGCAAAATAGCTGATCCGTTCTTAGGGTAAAGGGGCTTATAACACCGGTTTGAACTCTTTCCTTTGCAACATCAGCCTACTGCTGGAACCGAGGTTAAAGCGTCTTTAGGAAGATGTGCCACCTGTCATGTAAGGAGTCACCTGAAACCTTTCCTTAGTCACCAAACAGCAGCATTTGTTATGGTATGAGGCTGCTAGACCTAATTTATGGATGCCATTAGGCTGGCATCTTCCTGGCTGAAGCAAGAAGGAAGACAATGAATGGTATTTGTCGCCTGCTGAGCTCGGTATTGGAATGGAATATTTACGGGAAACACTACTGGGTTGTGCTCTTTCTTACAAGGAGTTAAACAGTCAATAGTAGGATATTTGAGTTGTCACTGGTTATTCGAGAGTTAACAGCGTATTGAGTGAGCACTTTAACGGCTATTAGAACAGTAACTACAGACCTTTTACAGCCGCCATACTGAGCAGTTGAGGGTTATTTACATATGACTGTGTACAATTGACAGGTTTGTTGGTAAAGCTAGCCTTGTACTGCTCATACCAAGTCGTGATGTAAACACAGTTCACATCTACATGACAAATGGAGAGCAAGGCCTGTTTGCTTAACTAGAAAACTTGAGAAATAAGGTGCAATATCCAAGTTGATTGTTTAATACAACTGCATTTGCAGTAGAATTCATAGCTAAGACATATACTGCCAAAAAAAACACCCCAAACAAACTTACATTTTAGTCTGCAAGCATATTATGACAAACATTCTTGCTGTGTAAGTAAATCCTATGAAATCTTTTGCGAACTTCATACATAAGCCTGCTTTCTAAAGCAGCTAGAATTGTTTAGGAAGGGTAATAGCTTCCTAAATGTGCTTTTGCCAAAGGGAGCCAACAACAATGTTCAGATAGTTTCTGGTATTATACCATGTTTTGTCTGTTACATCGTTGGCACTCACTAAGCCGGAAGTCATTCACTCCCTGCAAAGTACACCGAATTTGAGAGAATTTTCCTAATCCTTCACAATCTACCAGGACAAAATCATATATTAAAATAATTAGTAAGAACTATATAGGGTACTGATTGCATAAGGGTTATCATTATTGTGTGTCTATTACAAAACTGTGTTTAGGGTTATAAAAAAAACCTAAGTGCAGTTCACTTTTTTCTTTTTTAGCTTTTTTTTCCTCCACAGGATCACATTATTGTTTGGTGATCAGTCATCTGAATAGGCAGCCAAAATCACTGCTTTTCAAGCATTCAGAAATGTTTGAAGCAAAGGAAACAAAGGAGACTGGCAAGTATGAGAATGGGCTGTGTAAGTGTCTTACAAATGTATTGTCAGTCTAGACTTATGTTATGCCCAAAAGACTAGGTGATGATGCTATTGTGTTGTCTGCAGTACTAGTCTTGTGGCCTGAGCTTTCTGAAACCCTTCCTGGAAAACTTAGTTTTCACTTCAGTGCAAGTATGCTGAGGCACCTTGTTCCATCCTTTGTGTCAGGACAAAGCCAAGGTGATACTCTTGTATGACACAATCCGGAGGGGCTGTTGCTGTGGCATGCAAGTTCCTTTGCATAAGACAGAGAGGTTTCAGTCCTGTGTGCCATCTACTGATGTAATCTGTGCCATGCAGTTATTGTGGCCTATGAAACAGTCCTGACCCTCAGGTAAAATCAGGTTATTCGTGAAGTGAGGAGAGGGAGACAGCTGCAAAGCCTGAAACCAAAAAGCCCTTGTTCAGAAACTTGAGACTTTTGTGTCTTTTCACTACAGTGTATTTACTTTTTTTTTTTTTCCTAAACCTATTGGAAAAGGCCAAAATACCACTCATTGCTAATCAATATTTTTTGATCAGCTATTTAAGGGGCTCTTGCAGGAAGATCCCTACAGATAGACCTCTAGGCCAGCACAAAGGTTGTTGTGAATTAAAGCCTACTGATTTGATTTTATTTTTTCTTAAATCCTATTTAGTCACAAGTAATTAAAATAGTCTTCAATGATTCCGATTAATTCCATCTATGGGCAACACTCATTCCTGAACAAACCAGTTTGTTTTAAGTAAAATGGAATGAGGCACTTCTGTAATAAGAATGGCCCCATATGGAATTAATCAGGAACAGTTCCATGTGTAGAAAGCCTTAATTAACTTTTGAATGAGTTTCATTTGCAGTGTTTTTGCTGGAATGTCTATTTGGATCTAGATACATATATATATAGGATACTTGCAAATAGAGCACTAAATCTTTGGTTTACAGTTTTTGCCAGAAGTCCTCAGAATTATTTTGTTGGTGTTTTGTTTTTATTTTTCCTTTCAAAAATCTTACATATTGCTGGGAAAACAGAACATGAATCTTTAGGGTTTTAGTTGGTATGTTAGGCTTTCTTTTTTAAGTTTAGAGTCTTGATTTTGCTCAAATAATAAATAGCATAAACTTTTCACATGCTTTAATTATCAAAGTACTCCAAGTAATATTGAATGTTCTGGAGTAAATTTTCACAGTCAGCTTTTCTTGCCAGAATGACTGGAAATTTCTTCATTCAGGTAAATTTATAGATTAGTATGTTAATAGATACTTATGTTTATAGATGTTTTGTGTCCTTATCTGCTTGACAAGAAGACATCATCATAGCATAGTGATTTGGTTTATACTGGTAATTAAAGTCTCTTCAGTTTGAAACACAGTCCAGGCCATAAATTTTGATGCAATCGAATAGTAAATTTTATTGTTCTATCTGTGAACATTACTTCTACACCAGTGAATTGATACCAGTTGCAGAATACGGAATGATATCTAAGACAAAAAAAAAAGTATTTTTCTTTGAATTGTTTCTTTGGAGTGTTTGCTAGCAGTAATTTAGTTAGATCTTTCTGTTTTGCTTGAATATTGAAGTTATTTGACCATCTGGCTAGATTTCAGTGTTAGTCTTGTGTTGACAGACGTTTCTTAGTATTCAGTTAAAATTATCATTTTGTGTGTCTAAATAATTTTTGTATTAAAAACATGGGATTTTTAGTGGTGTCTAGAAAACCACTAGTAAGCCCTGATTTATCACAATGACTTGTACGTAATAAGAGAGGATGCAGTGATGGAGAACAAAGCAGATTCCCAATACTTCTGAGTGCCTATGTATATAAAATGTTTCCACAATTTCATTAATTATGCTTCTCTAAAGAAAAAAAGTCTCCTTTTAATTCTCTGCCTTTAATATTTTCTTTCTTTCCTGAACAGAATTGCTGTCAAGGGTACTTACATCACACTGCATGACTGATGTCCTCTGTGTGTGTTGCACTAGAGTTAAGAAAGGTTAAGAAATGCTTATTTTCTGGGGGGAAAGAAGCAAAGCCCTCACAATCTCATTTCCAAACTGGACCATTAGTTTTCTTGTTAGTGGAAGCGTCAGTTACTACCTGCTTACAGAACTGTTGCTTAACCGAATTGTCTGAATTACAGTTTACACAGTTTCTTTGTATCATCCATTGCACAGGCATTCTTTTGACTTGCTCATCAGAAGTATGTGAAGGTATCTGCTTGAAATTAGAAAACTTTCTGTAAGAATCATGAGTGTTCGTAACTGTCGTGCCTACAATTTTTCAAAACATGGATACATCCCTATAGTTGCCACAGCAGACTGGAAAAGAATTATACAGAGCAAAGTAAGTGGATGGCAGTTGTGCTCAGAAATAACTAGGTAGACTTGCATACTGAGATGGTAGTATCAGGCTAATGTAACTCAAGTGTTCAAGCCTGATAACAGTTGTTCAGTATAATTAATCAAGATGCAGTGTGTTCAAGACTTTTTTTTTTTAATATTTAATAGCATTAGGGCTGCACATAAAACAAACATACTTTTGAAAGAGCATATTCTTGAAACTCTGTCGAGGGCTGTGAGAGTAACTCGTGTTCTGACCCCAAAGATGCCAACAAATGAAGAGGTTCGGTATTAAGAAAGAATGTTGGAATTTTACTTAGGACTATCTACAAAAGATAACATAGCTTTTAGATTATTTGTTCAAGAAAATGCTCTATGTTAAACTTACTATGAAAGTAAAATAAAAAGCGGGGGGGGGGGGGGAATGGGACGGACGATTTAAAGAGCTTGATAAAGGTTTATTTGTCACCTCTATTCCTTCCTTACCCCTGGAAGGAGGAAAACGATGAAAAACAATGAAACTTTACCTGGCATTTAACTTGGCATTGTATGCTGTAGAGCTGATAGGCAGAAGCATGTGAATTGGCAATATAATCACTCCATCAACCTTTGGAAACTATAGTTGTTTACATATCTGAATTGTAGCCTCTCAGAATTGACTTACAGTGGCAGTTGATGAAAAATGTTATTTACAGATCTTAGTCTTGGCTTCAGGTATTTGCTGCTATGAATATAGATTACTCCAGATTCACACTTGAACAGAGTAATGAGAAAATGATCCACTCCAAAAGAAAATACAGTATGTATTTTGTTGTTATTAACATTATTGGAATCTTCCCTAGTCTCTTAGTGCATGCTGTTGTCCATCCTCCCAAATCTTCTGATTATCTCTTTGAAAACAGGTTCTGACATGATTCAACTTTCTTAATGAAGTGATTTCTCAGTCTTGGTTAAAGACAGATAGGAAAGGAATTTTAACAGTTCATTTTGGAAGCAAGATTTTGGGAGTTTTGCTTTTTATTCCCCCTTTTCATTTGCTTAGTCACAGTGGAATCTTTTCTGTCAATTTTGAATTACTCTTCTATAGAAACTGTTTCTATAGAAATTTTTAACTGTCCTAAAGGCAGTATGTGGCCCTTCTTTTGAACACTTGGAATATTGGATCCAGCTTAATTTCAGCGTGCGTGACTGCATGTCACAGTTTACTGTTGTGTAGAGATAGGTGAGTTAGTTCAAATTATGTTAAAGAGCAGAAATGGTCTGACCAAGTTGATTCAGAGCTTTGAGTAAGTACTGCTGTACTTAGAAGGCACAAATGGTGGAATAAGGCCTCAGATTTGCTGGTGAAGGAAGACTGTTCAAAGGCTGAACCCTATAGAACTAAGTTCTTTTAGAAAAGGATAGTTTAGTGATATAGAAGCGAGGACTCTGACATTCCATGCATCCTGCCCAGGAGCCATTGCTCTTGACAGCCCCAGTAAATGTTTCTGCATATGTATTGTTTCCACAAGTATAGTTACCTGTTGCTGAAGCTAAATTTTCTCTACTTCCAAGCCAAACTGCTTACACTTAGCTTGGTCACTTCTCTCATACTTCAGGATCTGCAGTAAGAATCCTGGTAGGTGTCACATGCATTTAGTGCAGGGTACTGAGTTCTTGTCATCCTAGATAGTTCTGTCGCTAATCCTTACATACGACTGCGCCTTGGAAGCAAATCTTGATACCTTGTTAGTGATCCTGTCTCACGTGTTTAGAATATTGACATTTCAGGCATTCAAAAAAAGCATATCTTAGGAAACAAGTAACCTTTATGTGGCCTAAAAATTAGAAGCTTGAGAAAGACGCACATTTCTAGCTTTTTGTTTGCTTTCTTGACTTCCAGTGGATTTGCATTTTCAAGCTTTTTTTAGCAACTAGAAATTAGGCCTCCAACAATAATTAGTTTTAGAAGTATGGCATTTTATAAAAATACTTTGTCATAAATTTCTGTGTGGGTGTCAAGCTTTTGCGGTGCATGTACTTTGTATTTTAGGAGCCTAAATGGCTAATAATCAGACTGTAAAATTCTGTGGGGTTTTTGTAATCAAGAAATTTGGCATTCACATGGTTCTGTTAGTTTAAAGAACAGTAAATGTACCACCTGTGATAAAAACTGCATCTGTTATTTTACCGCATTATCTTGATGCATCTACTTGGTGTCTGGCTTTATCAGCTGTCCTGGGTTTAGCAGTAGCAGGGGGATCTGAAAATGCCTGTATGAAACCTTAGTGAGATTAAATCAGTTTCAGAGAATAAAGTAAGGTTTGCAAAGTGAATTATGTCCTTTATATGTGATAAAATACCGTTTCTGATGCAGAAATTAAGATCTTCTTACTATTACTGCTATGATGAATGTTCTAGAGGTGCCTAAAATAAAGATAGAAACAGTTATATTTGACTTTAGTGTTCATGTCCAGAAAGCAAAGGAATAGCTAGCAGATGGTCAGTACTAAATATCGTTGACCCATGTGACATTTTTGTTTGACCTTGTGTAGTCTGCACTAAAGCACTGGAAAGGTAGCTCTTTAACAACTAATTAGGTAAGGTAGGGTCAGAAAAGAGTACGTCAGGATGCTTCTAGTTAGGAAAATGAAATAGAAAAGCATAAAGCATATACAGAATTGTGTAATAAAAGTCTTGGATTTTAAAGCTAGCAGTTCTCACATGTTTTCAGTCCTAAGTCTATATGAGCTATTTACTGAGCAAGTTAACATTTCTATAATAATTTCATCAGACACTGACCTTGGATAGCTTTCCGTGCTTGCAGTCCAGCATTAAAATGAGGTGAGGTCCTTGACTATAATGTTGAAATAACAGCAGTGGAAGTGATGCTACTCAGGCAGTTACTGACAGACTTTTGCCTAAAAATCTCCAACAAAACCTGGCCGTGGACACTGCCTGGGATGGGGCAGCCACAGCTTCTGTAGAGAACCTTCATCTTCATTACATTAAAAGTGTGTTTTTAACCTGCATGACCTCAGAGGAAGACCTGTTTTTCAGAACTCCATTCTACATGGCTGAGAAGTTGAAAACCATCAGGGAGTCCAGTTTCTGCTTTGCTGGCTCTTATGAAAAAAATGAGTATTGTATCTTCATTAGAGCTTGAGCTCGTCTTAATTACCATGCCAGTTCTATGCTACTAAAGCTTACTGGTACGTTGTTTTGACTAACCCTAAATATAGTTATGTCAACATAACTCTTGATAGTTTGTCAGTGTTGTTTATGTGGGTGATGTCCAGAAAAAAAGTGCTTGTGTCCTGCATTGTCACAAGGAGTGGTGGCAATTCTTCTGTTACAGGATAGCTCTTAGTCAAATTAATTTAAGCATGTGAGGAAAAGACAAATGCCATGTTATGTTTGGAACAAACCTTCTGGTTGCAGCTAAACCCATACTATTCAGTTTATCTGAAACTGAAATATTCAAATTGGCAACATAAATGGTTTATCTAAATCAACAGCTATTGAAAGGTCAGAAAAACAGTGCCAATTACAACCAATTTAATATTGACTTTAACCAGCATTTGTGGTTTTTACTTTAAAGTCAGACTTGTTAAAATATATGCAATACTAGTAGTTCTGATACTGATATTATGGTTACTGAATAGTCACAGCCTTACTCAAATAAGAGGAAATTCATTTTTGACTCAGTTGTATATTCAGCTTTGCTGTGTAGTTTCCCTGGTGGATTCTTTAAAACTTGAATGTTATATATAGAATCTGAGTTGGACTATGACAATCCTCTGTTGCGCAGATGCCGCGATTGCTTTTTATTATCAATAGTTGATGAAAAAAACCACAATTAAATGACAGTGGTTTTATCTTGGTGTTTTCAGACATGATTTATTAGTTTAACTGTAGTTTTTGTTAGCTTTTCCAAATGTATTGGATCTGCCTTTCCACACATTTCTAGCTGACTTAAATCCATTCACTGCTGTAACCCTGCATACAAATTACTTTCATAACTATGTGAAATAAACACTTCTGTAAACTCTTGTGTGACAAGTGAATGCTTCTCAAATCAGAAGCAGAACAATCCTATTTCCTGAAACTGTTCAAGAAGTAGAAAGTTGATGGTCAGAGTGTAATTTCAAGGTAGCTCCATTTTCCATATGAAGTGTAAGGGATTTTTTGTTTACTTGTGATGCAGCATCTGCTAAGAACACAGGAGTGAAGTGTGTATGAGTGAAAGTATAAGCAAATTTGTACCCAGCTATATTAACTTGCATACTAGACTGCTAAAAAATTACAGAAAAACTACACAAGAGCTATGTTTTATAGTCTTCTAGCCAAGATTTTTACTGTTGTATTTCTGTGGTAGAGCAGACATCAGGAAGGAGAACAAAACCAGCCTTGGTGCCCATTAACTATGTCAAGGAATGGACAGATCAGGGTGGTCTCATCTTGCTCTTTATTACTTTAACATCATCAGGGAGGGAAAAATTGCAGTACTGTTGCAGCAGCCACAGAAGAGCCCTGCGCTGTTAAAAGCCACCTCTGATAGAGGTATTAAAGCCTTTATCCTTCATTTTGTGCGCTTGATAGCACAAAATCTGAACTTTCACCTTTTTTCCGGTGTCATGATTATGGGCCTGGTTTTCTACATTTTAGCTAGGTTATTTTTTCACTAAACTTAGCCGAGTTAGAAGTTACACATCTGGATACTGGAATTGCTCCTTCTTGTCAGTAATTCGAGACTTAAACCATTACAATTTCACTAACTTCAGTGGAAGTACATAATGTTTGCCAGTAATAGTGTAGCCAAGGAAGGATTGGTATCTGCAAGTTTTCTACCATGTGTTATTGTGGGAATCAAAACAAAAAAGAAAACTGAACAAAAAATCCACCTTTTTGTGTTCCTTCAGTTTCTAATGTATTACTCAAAGGGGTGGAGAGAGCAGTTGGATGCAATGTAATTATTGGAGCTTTTATATTTTTTCTAGCTCCTATGTATGAGGTCTTGTGGGAGAGATGGAGACTTTTAAGCTGTTGTCCACTTAGTTTTAATGTTCCCTCAGCTGTTACAGTATTAAGTTGTATTTTCATGTGAAATCACTATGCTTTAGCTATCTTACCTTTCTTATAATGTCTCAAAAAATTCAAGTGACTAGAAGTCACTGGATGGTTTTATGTGGGATTTTGCGTACACAGAGTCGTATACATGTTTATGTCAGTCACTTTGCATTGTAATGACCTTATCCACTCAGGAATTATGAAAAGATTCAAAAAGTTCTGGTGATGAAATATTTCAATTACAGTATTTTCAGGCTTTTGCTAGAGATCATCAAGGGAGTTCCAAACTGAGACACTGTGCTGTGATCTCAGCCAGGACCTCATGACAGGTCAATAGTAAAGGCAAGGAAATGCTTTTAAAAGAAAAAGAACCATCTGATTGTGATTCCTTCCTTATTGAGTAGCTGCCCACATCACTGTGATAAGCCATCACTTCTGCTAGCTGATGACTTGGAAACCAGTAAGGCTTTTGATATAAGAACTTGTTAAAAGCTAAGAGCTTTTCTCAGGGAAAAAAAAAAAAAAAAAGGACTAACTGAATTTCAAAGGATTAATAAATTATGGGCTTGAAATACGCACTCAGCCTTACAATCTTGTCTTCAGTTGACTTCCTAAGACTGGGATACTCAATCTATTAACCTTGCAGAAAATACCACAATTGGTAAATACTAATTTTTTAATTGCATTTGTCTTAATTGCAAATAATCACTTTGTGTGCTTACACCTACAGTTGGGTTGCTTTTGTCAGGTACAACTTGACATGAGTCAATAACCTTTCCAAATATGATTCCTGAATGCTAAAAATGGGGACTCTTAGGTACAGGGTTAAGAACTTACCACAATAGTAAGAATTTAATAGTTTACCTCATTAACCCCAATCCTTATAATATTTAGTCTGGCTCCTCTTCCTGCTACCTCATGGTAACATTTGAAATACCTGATTTTTTTAAAGTTGTCATAGAAAAATATTTACAAAGTGCCTTGCAAATCAAGAGCCAACCAGTACATGAAATAAATGTCAAAGTGTTATCATAATATCATTTAATATCATAGGAAATATTAAACCATTAATCATATGAAGTAGTTTTAGAGATCTTCCAACTATGAAGTAGTTTTAATTAATTAATTTCCAATGCTACAGTATTTAAGATGATATATTTGCAAACCTGAGGCATGTGAAAATGTACAGAGCAGACACAAATTTGTCATCCTGAGCATACTGAGAAGTCATTGCAAGACTTCATTTGCTTTTACTATATTTCACTTCCCCTCAGCTCCTCAAGAGATTGTAATGTAATATTATGTGCACAAATTCTGAAATTGCACTCGGACTGTTCCAGTAGTCCATGTTAGAGATGCCTTATCATTTATTTTCAGAAGAAATAGTTATGACATTTCAGTCATTCACAGTGTAAGTTGGGCAACATGAAAGCCTATTTCCTGGACTTCTCAGCCTTCTTGAAAAGAGCCTTCTCAACCCTCAGTCAATGAGATCATCATCACATTTTCTAGTGTGAAAGTATATGTATACTTACAAATGCTACTATTATCTGGAAAACTAACGGCTTAATGACTTCATGACTTACAAGTAATCATCCTTCTGCAAGACAGCTTGAAAAAAAGACAATTGTAATTGTCCCCTGTGTCTGTGTAAAACTGACAAAGAATTTACTACCATGATGCATAATAGCTGAGAAATCATAATGGCTGAACTGAACATGTGGGCTTCCAGAATTAGACAAGAATCTAAGATACTGAAAAAGCAATAGGTATAGAGCTAAATGAGTGCTGAAAGATCTTGCAGGAACTGAACAATTAGTTTATCTCTGTGACTATGCCAATGATGTCATGACTGTAATGCCAAAGTTTGGTGGTGTGTGCCTGTAACAAAGTACTTGAGGGCAGTCCACCCTCTCAAACTCCACTGATACAGAATGCTTCTGAGCAGCCCTTCAGTTTAAGTGCTGGCAGCAAATGCTCTAAAACGCACAATCTGCAGCAAATCTGGAGTCACACAAATGAAAACTGGCAGTTTATGTGGATGACTATGCCTGAAGTAGCAAATAATCTTTGATGTGGTTATGACAGGGGATGAAAAAAAAGTACCAAAGTTCTTCCAAGGGGTACTGTGTGATTCAGTTTTGTGGTGGGGCTGGGAGAGAGGTTTTCACTGAGGTAGTGAATACAATTGTATGGCTGCCAAAAAATACAAGGAAAGTATCAAAAATAGTAATAAAAACATAAGTAGTGCTTTGTGATTTCATAATGGTGTCATAAACTGTAATAATTCTTGAAATTGTCTATTTGGCTTAAGGATGAGATACATGCAATCTTAGGTAGCAGTATATAAAGCAAAAATGACATAAGAGAAAAAAGTATTTAGAGAAAGAGTTGAGGAGTAAATGTGATATTTACCATGCCAGTGGAATGCTGTAATCCTTACTCCTATTTCTTGTTTTGTTTTGTTTGTTTGGGGTTTTTTTCAGTTATTATAATAGACATTTGAATATATCAATTTTAAAGAAAGACCCTAGCCTGGAAATACCGTCTCTGCAAAATAATGCTTATGCTATGCAGCATTTCCTGTAAGTGGCTACATTTCTCTGTTTCTAGGTCTTAACAGCCAGCTAAGTTCAGTAGTGTTAAATCCACACATACATGGTATATTCATGCTACTGAGTGAAGGAAAGAGAGCAGTGTATTAGTGAGTGTAATCTATAAAAGAGATCAAGCTATGAAAATGAACAGGATGTCTACTGGAAACCAAGAAACTGCTCGAGGTAAATAAACACTGGACCATATCTGGAACTACATCTTTCAAATTAGAGAAGCTAAATGGAGTTGAAGTAGTTAAAGTGGGTTCAAGTATTTTCAACAGGAAGGGTCACAGAAATAGGGGCATATTACAAAAAAGCAAAAAGGTAAATGTAAAGCATAGAACATGTCCACCATGTTAAGAGAATATTCTGTTTTCTTTTCTTAAAAGTATCATAAAATTGATAATTTCCAAAAGCAATGTCTGTCTGTCATTTCCTGGATCCTGTACTCCCTTGTTAAAATTTGTGTCAAAGTTTATCCTGACCAGAGATTATTCTTACTCTAGCATCTGCTGCTGCGATTGTTAGAGACAGTTCAGCCTGCTGGGCTGGACCCAGAAGGGCTTTTCTTGTGCTCCTAATTACTAAATCTAGAGCAGTGGGAGATCCTTGCCTGAGGCTAAGAGCAAGGGCAGGGGAAGAAAATAGTAACACAAACAGGAGAACTTCTGTGGTAGGAACCTACATTTACAGCACATTATATACAATATGAGATCCAACCTTCACTGCTACTGTAGCACTACTCATTTGAGTTTAAATGAAGATAAAGCAATCTGATGGCTGCCAAAAAAAGAGAAAATATTATGGCCATACATTGGAACAACTTAAGCGTTTTTACCCACCACTATAAAGGCAAACAAAGTGAACATCTGTTATATTTAAACATTTGCTTTAAAGAAAATTTCACACAAGCTCATACCATATACATACATAAATGTTAGCATAAACTTCAACTGATTTCACTGAAGAGAATTCACGAGAGATTTTAATTCATGTAACATTCTCATACCAACAAATAGAAAAGCATCAGTGTATTTCAGGTTTTTGAATGTTTGAATATTTCCTTTTGTACAACAGAAGGAAAATATGGGTGAGACACATGTTCCTTGTCTTGTATCTCTGAGAAATCCTTTGGAGCCTAGGAACTGCACAAAATACTTTTTTCATAGAAAGGAGGAGTATGCAGAATACTTTTCACCTGACTCTGAATAAAAGAATGTCTAAGGAACGCCTGAAGAAAACATTATAGACTTCTCTCTATTCTTTTTAAATTATTTTCTGAAGAGAGTAAGGATGGTTTTAAAAGCAGGCATTCCATTCACCTAGAAGATGTGTGTTCTAGTTGTGTAGTGTGCAGCTCTGATTATTTTTTAGGAAATTCTACCACTGTGTTGTTTGCACGTCACCTTTAATACAGTGATTCAGACATCGCAGTCTTAGTTTAACATTTATTGTTCACATCAGTGGGTGCAAATTATTTTTAGAGCACTAGCTGGTCTCACCAGTGATATAAGCAGTTATTATGCAGATCTCCCCCATTTAGCTCTGCTACTTCATCATACCTCACAGCTTCTTACCTGCTCCAGTCCTGGAAAAAGGAAACTTATTTTTTTCTGGAATGCCTTTAAATAGCAGACTTTTGTAATTGCTCAAAATCAACCATATGATTTAGCAGCAAGGAAGAAAAGGAGAAGGAGAATTTAAACAGGACTTTTAATCTCTTGATAAACAAGCCACTGTTCAAACTTTGATGTTGTAGGTGATTGCTTTTGTCATCTCAGCCACTTGTTCCTTGCTTTGTGTTCTGAAAGGGGGAAAGATGTGTTATAGGTATAATTGAGTAATTTGATTTCTCTTGCTATTGAGATGAGCACTAAGCTGTGAACATTTTCCTTCAGTGCATTATTAATTTATTTGTAAATTAATATTTACAGTAAATTTCATTTATTCACAGTAATTTTTATTATGTAAATAATATTTACATATAATATACATATTTACATATAATCTTTAATCTTTACATATAAATGTAACAATTTTAGTATGTGATATATTTTCATTTACAATAGTATTTATTTTAAATTTACAATAAAATTTGTTTATAATAAAATTATAAAAATATATTAATTTAATAATATAAACAAATTATATTGTGTTTAGGGACTAAACTATGTCATTTTGGTATGAACATCTGTATTTTAAAAGCAAAACTTGAAAAGTGTGCTAGTTTATTTCTTTACCACCTGCTTTTTTAAATTTATTCTGATGAGAGGCAGAACAGTCAAAAGAAATTTAGAGCGAGGGATGTTCAGACTTGGAGAATATAACCAAATTACTCTAGACTGACAGTTGACAACCATTTTAGGCAGTTTTTGCAACTTCCCTCATCCTACCCTTTGCATCTGTAATGCTTTCTCTTCTCTAGACACAAGGTGCTGCAGACCTGGGCAACAGGGAATGAGAAGGAGGCAGAAGTGGTAGGATTATTTAGTGGTATTTCTTCTACTTGCTTTCTGGGCATGCTTTACTGCTGTCTGGAAGAGAAGAGCAATGCTGAGGGCCTCAGTGAGGGGTGAAAAAGAATCAGGGACGCAGGGCTGCCTTCCTATTCTCAGCCTGTGGACCTACAGGATGCTCTTTTATTAAGAGATGAGAAGAGGCATCAACAGCTACAGTGTAAGGAAGTAATTCGCTTTATGACCAAAGGGGTTGTGGGCAATATATTTTGCTGTTAGAAGTGGGTTTGACATTGTTCCATATTGCAAGCAAACAATAAACTAGAGTCTAGAGGCAGAGTCAAAAATTACTCTCAAAGATGAGTTATCAGTGTTTTGTTTAAAACTAAGAGGGAATTTTAAGTTAGGTTCCAGCAGAGTCTGTCCTAAGGTCATTTCCATTTAATATTATAATTAAGCACTTGGGTAGTGGAAAGAATGTGCTTACAAAATTTATAAGTGCAAGCTGGAAGAAAGGGCATGTACTGTGAAGGGCAGAACTATCTTAAATTGGAATCATGGTCTGCAGTAAGCAGGACAAATTCACTTAATAAATCTGGAAAATAAAGATTTACGAAGTCAGAAATCAGATACGTACAAACAAAACAAGGAAGGACCATCAGTCAGTTACTCAGCAAAAGGAATACAGAGCCTATTATGAATAGC